CTGGGCCTAACAGCAGGAGCTCCCCCCGCTCCCCATATTTGAACCATCAACCTTTCGGTCAGCAAGTTCAGCAGCTCAGCAGTTTAACCCACTGTGCCACCAGGGATTAGGTTAGAATATAAATTAAAATTTAAGACGAATATTTAAGACCCTACTCTTACTATAGGTTTCGAAAAGATAACCACAACCTAAAAACTATATTATTAAAACATCTCATCCTGTACTATTCAACTGCTGGATGTCACTTTTTATTTTAGCAAACTGAGGCACAAAAGTGGGCCATTAATCTTGAAATTCTGAGATCACTGCCCACTAACATATAGTCAAATATATTGACATTTGAGCCAGACAGCCTACCAGCATTTGATGGAGGATTCCCTTACAGGGAACTATCTATGGAGTAAGTCATGTTGAGTTCAGAGGAGTTATACTCTGGTGAATGTGCAACTTGTGTGATATTCATCTGCACTCCAACGTTGGTCCAGACTTTTGGAGCTCAGCTTCCAGAAACCCCAGCCAACAGAAATTCTGGGAACTAAAGTCCAAAACACTTGAGAGGGGAAAAGGTTGAGTTCCATCATAGTCAGGGCTACGATGGAACTGATAGAAAGTATCAGGGCTCGACTACAGGAGCTGTTTAGCCCTCACTGAGTGAAATGTCACTCCTGGGTGTCTAAATGACATCCAAGGGCATCTTATCCTTTACATGGGGTTAACTGGGTTAAACTGGTTTAGACCTGCCCTAAGAAAACTAAGTCAGCTTTGCACTTTGAGCACAGCATGGCGATTACCTTGAGTCCCACTTTATCTGAAAGGTGACATGTAAAATAAATAAATAAATAAACTTATTCTGCCACTGTGGTGTGCTGTGTGCACTGAAGTAAACAGAACTTTCCTTGCAAAAGCTATCTAGATTGTTTTTAAAGAAAAAAAGCAACAAAGAGCAATGGAACAAAACCTCCATCTCAGTTACATGTGGAAAGAATATGGAGGGTGGCTAGGGAAAATAAGTATAAATGGGGGGGGGGGCACAAAAATTTCCACATTTTTGTTGATGTTATGTGCTTGTCTCTTCTAAACGTAGAGAAAATGAATGTGTATATATTACTCAGTTTTGGTTTTGTTAATGGCAAACAATGGTGAAGGGACGTGATATAAAAGAGAATGTCACCACCTTACAATTCTCCATACCATACAGAAAGGAAAAGGTTGGAGGAAGACAGGGACATCACTAGGCAAGCAAACTTAATACAGAGGCAAACATTACATCAGTTGTTCCTCTTCTTGCCTACACAGTGCACACTTACTACCTCATCAGATGGCTGGTGGCAGAAGGAGGCAGTGGTCCACTTCACCATGAGACATGAGGAATCCGGCGCCCCATGCCTCGCATAGCCCCCCTTGCTGGGAAGGCAATTACATGGGGGAAAGCGCGGAGCACACGTGGAGTGCGCTGCTTCCCCCCATAGATTAGGCAACATGGAAAGCCTCCCGTGTTGCCAGGGCAGTGATGGCATGCTAGTTCTGCCCCTCTGTACCCAATGAGCTGGCACAATGTCATTTGATGGGATCCAGCTGACTCCATCGGTGACTGGGACTAGTTTGGTGTTTGCTACCAAAACTAGCCTCATATGAGGATATCATATGTGGAATAAGCTGATCAGAGTATTAGGTCACCTAAAGTTATTTATTTATCGTGTCATCCGCAACCAGAACATTGTATTACATTTCTAACAGAACAAAACAAACAAACAGATTTAAAAAAACCACAAATTTTGCAAACTTGGTAGCTGATTAAATGTCCATTTAATCAGTCACCTAAGATGAGAACATGTTGACTTGGATGTTCCAGCAGTTACAGAAACATGCTCCTCCTTTGTGCATTGGAGGATTGGTTTTGCATTGTGGTGGATTGGGCTCAGCAGCAATCTTAAGCAGAATGGATGCTTTCCTAGGGCCATAGTCACTCCTTTTCAGGCCCAAAGGAACAGATATTTCCCTTGTCTTGGTTGGGGAATCTTTTGCATATCCCTATTAACTGCATAAGAAATACTGTCATTTTTGTGAAAGTAATTTTTCTAATTGTTTCTATTATTACTCTCTGCATGCATTTAATTTTCCCTTAAGCTCACTATGTGCAACCACTACGTATGAGAACTCGTGTGTCTGTGTCTCTCTCTCTGTGTGTGTGTGTGTGCATGTACATACTATTATCTGAATAAGGCTCCATTCCTTTGATGTAGGGCACTGTTGTGTATACAAGCTAATTATGTAAGAAATATGTGGTCTTTAAAGTACTACATAGTCTTTCTTATTTTTGCTGCATTCAGATTAAAGTAGCTACCTCCTTTCAACACCATGTAAATGTCAGCTAAGATAATCTGTACTCCTGCTTTAAAAACATCCATACAAAAGGACATGGCATCATCTTTTCTTTATTTCTTAGGTACTTATATCAAATCTGGTTTTATTATGTAGTAGTAGTCCTTTTTCTAAAAATATCTAGTTAAAAACACAGTTATTTCCATGGTGTAACTGCTTATTTTACATTACTGTTGGTTCAGTCTACAGTCATTGTTTTCAACGTTGGTTTTAGGAGTCAGGCAATGATGATATTCTTCTAGAAGTGGTGTGTGACTCATTGTTAAATGCTGCTGGCAGCGATTGGCTAGCTGTTCAACTGATAACTGAGGCTTCTTCAGCAGCATTCATGCTGTTAGTTTCCTGCTAAGCTGCCTGTGGCCTTGTGTATAGTGTGATACCACATTACCTTTGAATCTGATTAAGCAAAACTGCCCCCCGCCCCCCAGCCGCTTTTTTTCTTGAACCACAGGCTTGCTGAGAAAAAGATTTTTATTTCTCGTATCAGGAGAGAACCAAGGGTACATTTGTATTGTATTTTAAAAAACCAAAAAACACAAAGTTTTGAAACTTGGCATTATATTAAATGTCCTTTGACCAGTAGCTGGCCACTTGGAGTGATTCTGGTGTCACTGTGAGAAGTTCCTCCATTGTGCATGTGGCAAGGCTCAAACTGCATTGTAGTAGGTGGTCTGTGGTTTGCTCTTTTCCACACTCACATGCCGTGGGCTCCACATTGTAGCCCCATTTCTTAAGGTTGGCTCTGCACCTCGTGGTGAGAAAAGGATGCTTCCATATAATAGTGCCCACCTATTTTGTGATCACTTGTTATTTTGTGATCACTTGTTAAAATTGGTATTTTAAATTGGTATTTAAAATACCAATTTGTATGAGGCTACCTCAAAAATAATAATCAAAAGTGATTGGCAACATTGTTAATCATGAACAATTTCTTTCACTTATTAGCCAAATAAAGGGGAATGGGTTCCATACATAGAAATGGATGGATGCTCATTTTCCAAGGCATCCATCAAGAACACATGAATGCCAGAGCAGGGAAGCTGATACATGCTCATGCTTTTATTTTGATCTGGAGCCCTGCATGAAGCCATGCTCTGTATGCATGGCTCAGTTCATCCATTCTATCCAAACAGGTGTGACAGTTTGCTTTCTACAAGCATCAAATGCATGCATCCTTCCTGTGGCAAGCAAGATGGCTCTTCCGTACTATCTCTAGAGAACACACTGTCTTTTCACATGCGGAGCTCAAAGCGGCTTTATCTGCTACTAGCCGTGTGTGTTTTTGACCCTTTGTCAATTTTGATCTTAATGCTCCAGTCCAACTCATACTAGATTAGACATGTTCAGTGTTTCTCAAGCTGTTTTACTCCAGTGATTGATTTGTCTGGTTACTGCATCAGGCAATATTTACCAGAGTTCATAAAATTGTGCTTTTCAGAATCATACTAGATCATCCCTGCTGCCCACCCCAACCTCCCACCCACACAGAAACCAGCTTGGCTCCTATAGACTCTGCATCTTTTCTCTCTTATCTTGTCTAGCTTTTGCATCTGTGCCTTGCTGCCTATGATTCTAATCAGTAAACTTGCACACACAGATGTGCATATGCACAAACACAACACAGTACACTGAGACTTTGTCTTTTTTATTTGTGCCACTATCTTTTTTAATTTTAAAGCACAATACATTTTAAATATATAAATGTTCCATATAGAATAGAGCTTTCCAAATGGTGTGTCATGACATGTTAGTGTGTCAGCTACAGTGTGTAGGTATGTTACATGAACATAACAAGAAATGACAAAAAATCGTGGATATATATATAGAAAGGTTTGCATGAAATTTATTGTGTCCTCATACATTTTGTTGTTATAATTTATATATATGTCCACATCTCTTATAAGGAGTTGGTTTAATCTCCAGTTTGCGAGTAAAATTGAATGACTGTGTCGCAAAATGATGCATGCCTTAGAAGTGTGTCAGCAACATTAAATGTTTGGAAAACTCTGATATAGAAGCTACAAACAGAAGGAGAGACTAAGTTACATGCTTATGCATTATGTCAAATGAACACGACAAGGATATAAAATGTGATGATGATGATGATGATGATGGTGATGAAGCTTCCATTGTTGGCAAATCCCAGATTCACTGACTCAGGAAATCTAAGTAAATATGTCCAGTTAGTGGGTTGAAACTGCAGTCAATGCCTGCCATTTCTGTTTTGCTACTAATTTGTTTTTTTAAACATAAGCAATAAATAGTGCAATAAATAGTATGAAGCCAGGCTTAGCAATGGGGCCAGCTAAACCACTGTGCTGCAGAAAAGTCCGGCCGATTGGAAGGTTGGCAGTTCGAGTCCAGGTCAGGGTGAGCCCCAGCTACCTGCCCACCTAGCAGGTCGAAGGCAGACATGTGAGTAGGTAAAATAGGTACCACTTTTAACAGGGAGGTAATAAAGGCGCCCTTAAGGACATTGATCAGAGGAAAGCTCCTCGGCATGGAAGATGGAGTGTGACAGCATCCCCCCCCCCCCCCCCCCCCCCCCCCGGTCCTGTGGCCAGAGTCGAGCACAACTTCCAATATGCCGGAAATAAGATGGGAAAAATTGCCCTTACCTCTGTTTGTGTTGTCTGTCCTTGTTAATTGTATAATCGGCATTGAATGTTTGCGGTATGTGTGTTCTGTAAGCCATTCTGAGTCCCCTTTAGGGTGAGAAGGGTGGGATATAAATACTGTAAATAAATAAATAAGTAATAATAAATACAACATCTCAGTCCTAAAGTTCAATCCTATCACACAACTATTGTTCCATTATGTTATGAAATTAGAGCATAAAACATTGGTGCTATAATATGGAGACAACAGCCCTTGGTGAGAATCAAAGTGAGGAATGAAAACACTATTGTTTTTCTTAAGCTTTAAATGCTGGCAATAACATATTTTGGCTTTTTCTTCCTCTGCAATGAGTATGTAATGAAAAAGCAATTTAAATACATTTTTCCATTACCCAGTGTAGATCACCAAAGAAATTTGATTTTCTGTGTTAGGTCTTCTCAGTGCACATTCAAATATAAGAGGTACTCCAGCTGCAATAATAAAGTATAGAAAGGGGACAATGAGTGATGTAGAGTTTTAAAACATTCACAAACTTTGGATTTAATAATGATCTTTACTTTGAAGCTAATGGCTGGACACTAAATAAACTTCCTGCTTCTCCTTCTCTTTTTTGGATTTCATTATCATTGGAGAAGGATTATATAAATGAAAACAGGAAACTGCAGTCCAGAAGTTTTTGCTAAGAATAGATTTTTTTCTCCCTGATATAAGCAAGAAACTATGGAAGGCTGTGGAGGATATTCTGGATGCACCCTTGGATTTTATTCTCAAATCATATGCATTCTTACAAGAAAGGATATTTACGCTGAAATGGAAACTAGGATCTGATCTCAGTGAATAAAACTCAGAAATATTTTGTGTAAGATATCAGACATATGAAGAATTTCAGAGTGTAAGAAAAAGAATATGATTAAATTGTAACAAAAACTAACTTGGAAGATGTTACGTTTTAACCGTTGTCGTAGTCGCCGTCATTCATGGATATGGTAAGTTCATTTAATCAAATAACTTTAATTGATGATAGATTGATAATTTTAATTGATAATAGATTAAATGATAAGCATATTCAAAGGGATATTCATATTAGACAAATGTCAGTAAAATAATTGAAAATAAAAAAAAATTGCCCTAAATCATGTTGGTAATGTAGTAGGACAGTGTTGTTATCAGAGATAAAATGCTTGTCCTAAAGAGAGAAGATCTGTGTGAGTAGAGATATGAAATTTAGAAGAAATACACAACAGATAAACTACTTAGAATTGAAAATATCACTTGTGAACATGTTCTTAATAATTTTTAATTGTTTCATTTTCCTTCATACTACATATTGCAATAATGATTTATTTTTGGATGCCTTCACTTATAGTTGCTGCTTCAACTTATCTGGTAACTGTGGGTAGAATGATGCTTCCAATAATCAGACACACTTTTAAATGTTTTGCATTTTGGATAATTACATTTATCCAAGTTACATTTATTTGTCTCGACAAATACTGTGGTTAGCATTGTCATATAACATTGCACACTGGAATTCTTTTCAGTAGAAATTAATTTCTTTGGATATCATTGAAATGTAGAGTCCCCCTTGAATATGAGTTGCCTTTGAATAATGTAGACCTAACAAAAGAAATATCATCATGCACAACAGTAATAAAAATATAGTTCAAGTAATGTGTGTAGAAGCAAAATGTGTCTTCTTCCAAAGCATTATACTTAAGATACACCAGTGAAATATATATGAAAGTATCAACAAGAAAACCATTATTCAGTGTAGGAATTGAAAATGCATTTTGAAAAGGCTGAGTACCTCTAGTCAGATGTCTGTTTTTCATAATGATAAAGAATTGTAGTACTCTTGAAGACAAGGAGACAATATAATAGGAGCAAGAGAAAGGGAGAATCTGATCAAACAAAACCCAGAATTTTAGAAGTAGTAATAAGTAGTTGAAGATAAGACACAAGAAAGTGCTATAGTGTCTCTGAACAAGTGCAGCATCTTGTATATTGACTTGTGCACACCGAACCTCTACTATCAAGGACTAATGTTTTAAAACTAGCTGGTGCCTACTGTGCTTGAGTTTTATATGAACTTTATTTGAACAGACATCACTGTATGTAATGTATTAAAGATATTCTGAATATTTTTGTTAATATAGGGCTTCTAAAATAGCTGTACTCCTGTGCATTTTAAAATATCACCACCACCACCACCACCACCACCATCATCATCACAACCACCATCCTGCTTTTATCTCCTAAAGGAGACTCAAACATATAAAGTACTGCAGCTTTAAACCTTTTTTGTATACAGAAGCATTAGTGATAGAAAGGTACAAGAATAGTATTTGGAAACTATATTCTGGAGAAATCGCTATATGGCTGTGTTGTCAAATATCTGTATTTTTCATGTTTTTGGAAATTAATACTAAAAGCATAGGGGGCATCATACTGTGGGTGTAACATGAAAAACTATCCCCAATGCTTTATAATTCCTCAGCAGATCAGTTACAAAGAAACAAATCTTAGCAGCATGTTGAATGATATGTATGCACTTGGCCTTAAATTCTTATTGCTCACAAGAGCAGAGCAAAAACAGAGAATGGCAGCTCTTTTCAACATGCTTTTGGAGAAACTGCTCCTACAGTTCCTCAACACTTGGAGGCAACAACCAAAACTGATAGGAATCGTAGGGCAATAAAAGAAAAGATAATCTGGAGGGTCATAGGTGACCACTTCTGCTCCATAACCATTTGGGGAATGCAAATGTTTGTATGTTGGAAAAATGACCACTAGAGCTGCAAATTGTCAATTATTTTGTTCCCATGTGTGAGGATAAATAGTTAGTTTTCTCCTTGCTGTGGAAGAAAATGAATATTCCTATGCGCTCTCTCCCCTTATTTAATGAATTGTTGTGCAGGAATTATTTTCTGAAAGAAATCACAGAGTTTTTGCATGCACATAAAATAAGCCTACATGTTTTCTTCCCCATTAAATAATTACTGTGCAAAACTTTAGGATGTTGAATACCAGGAGAAAATTGCACATTGTTGCTGTTCTAATGTTCTTCCCAATGGGATTTCCTAGCTGAGTGGAAACTAGTTTTTGACCTGGGAACATATAATTGTAAATACCCATTCCCTCTCTAATGGATACTAGTTTCAGTTATCAAATATAACAGAAGCTATGGAGTGATGTTTCCTTTTCCCAGATACCATTCAGCAGACTAAGATATGTCATCTCCAACATCACATTACTTTTTACTTCTCCAACCTCATTCCAACATACAGTATGCAGAAAGGAGTAATTTGCAATGCCATGTGTTTATAAGATTCTATTTCAAGATGCAAGATGACACTGGCTTAGTTTGTGGTACCCAGAAGCTATTCCAAAGTCAACTTCAAGATTTCTTAATTGTTTCACTCTTGATAGATACATGTGAACATAAACAGAAACAGGATGATCCTATAGTGTTTCATTGGCATAAAAGTCTTCGAGGAATAGTTTTCTAATAACACTTTATAAATGATTTGTTTCTGGGAAAAGAAGAATTCTACCTCTCTCTTCAAGAAAGATGATTAGTACATTTTTTATACTATGACTAAGAGTAGGAGCCACATCACATATACCAGGTGAAATTTGTCTTCAGTTTATATTTACCCAAAATAAATCAAACATGCTGCAAGGCAAGTTATTTTGCCCTTGGCTCAAGACCAAAAAAAAAAGTTTGAAAATTCACCAAAATTGAAAGTAATGATGTTGCTTCCAAGAACAGTGTGGCCCTTTGTGAAGGTAAAAAATAATTCGGCCCCCAGTGCAGTTATCTTCCCTTGGGATGGAGAGAAAATAGCTAGCTAAGATGACTTAATTTAGTAATGCTGAAATAACACCTGTATTGGACAATTTCTGGCTCTCAATTAATGGTTGTTATACTTCTCCAGCTGCTTCTAGTTCCAAGAATTACCATCAAGAAATGTTGGTTGGGGAATTTGTGGCCATTCAGATATTGATAGACTCTAATTTGCATTAGCCATAACTAGCATAGCAAATGCTTCTGGAAGATGGAAATTATAAGTCTAGTAACTTTAGAGGGCCACAGTTTCCTCACCCTTACCTTAAAGTAGGCATCCCCAAACTGCAGTCCTCCAGCTGTTTGGGCCTTCAACTCCCAGAAATCTGATCCAGCTTGTTCAATGGTCAGGAATTCTGGGAGTTGGAGGCCCAAACAGCTGGAAAGCCACAGTCTAAGGAAACCTGCCTTAGAGTATCTGCACACTGATACTGGCATTAGATGTGCAGCAAAAGAGAAACTGGCAATTAAACTGATGTCCATATTTATATCAAAAGTGTGTTTGAGAAGACTGGCTTAGAATGGGATTCTATTTTTGTTTTTGTTACTTTAATTTTCTCCTGTAGCGTGAAAAATGTATTTTTCCATCTCATCTTGTTAAAGTTCCACTGAATTTATTCTAATTTTGTTTACTCGGGCTTCAGTGTCTCACTTTAATGAAGGCTATTGGAGTATTAGGACTCAGTGAACTTAACTTATGCATGGGATGATTACAGGAGATGTAGTTTCCTCTGACTTTTCATTCTATGAAGTCATTAGGCTGATTTAAAAATAGCTATATATTGTCAGAAAAAAATCCCTAGAGCTGTATAAGTATTGTGAGGATGAAATACTGCAGCTTACCCTAGCATAAAGAATATGTTGGGCAGGTGAAGAATCTGAATAAAACAGTTCTGATCTAATTCCAGCAATATTTTACAGCAATTCATGACCCAGATTGTGCAATGAATATTACTTGCTATCTGAATACTTCTCTCTTCACTGACAGGTTCTAGTTGCATTGAGGATAGATAGTAAATGCTCCTTGTGTGTACGTGCCTACAAGTCATCTATTAACATGTGGCGACCCTATGAATTAGGCATGGTTAGGTACCATCGGAATCTTCATAATTCAGAATAAAGTCGGAAAAATTACCTTTTTGAAGCATTTTTGTTTTTAAGAAAACCAGAAGTCCCTTTGCCCTTCCAAAGCTTTTTCCACCATTTTTTGTTATGACTCATGAAGTGAGTTGGAAATGATTCAGCTTTTCCCTGCTTTTAGTCCCTGACCTCAGCTCAAGCCAGAGAAGCCAGTTTTAAACCAGAGAAGGAAGGAATTTCCTGGCCTTGGCTCAAACCAGAAAAGCCAGTTTTAAAGCCAGAGAAGCCAGTTTTAAACCAGAGAAGGAAGGAATGTCCTCCGCTTGCTTTCCCTCGCTTAAAAATAAAGACCACCCAATGAAACTGGAAATAACATTTTCAAACCATTAATGAAAGGATTCGGAAGTCTCTGAAGTTTCAAAAAGTTTTGAACATTTTTTTTCTGTGAAAATCAGAATTGACTTTAGAATCGAACCACCAGCGCCCCCTACATCTGAAACGGGTTTTGAACATTTTTTTTGGATCAACCAAGCCTACTATGAA